GGTGCGCCTCGAGTGATGGGACGGGTTCCCGTGTCGTCGACGTCTTCGACTTAGGTAGTCTAGCGCAACGTCTTCAGACGAATTCAGTTCAGAGAACTTGCTCGAGACATTGTAGAGGAAGCGTCGACTCCTCCACCAGCTCGAATGTGCTTCATAGCCGCTGGGATCCCCAGGGTGAGACACCGGAAATGGTCGCATGAGGAACGGTTGCGGTTAGCTGCATATGCAGGCGCCTGATACTCCTGAGGAGTTGTGACTTGTGGAGTCAGATATCGCTCTCGGAGCCGGTGCCATTGCACTTGCTCATCAGCAGTCGAGGCGGCAGGCCCACACGTGTACGTGTTCAGCGGCTGCTGCGCCGCGAGGCGGGCCGCTTCGGCAGGGTTCCGCGGCTGGAAGCCGTAGTCACGGCGTGACGTTAGAACAAGTGGTCGGACCACAGGTCGGAACGACTGCGAGCGCTGCTCATTGGACAACTGACGGCCTTGGGCCTCGTCCAGGTCATTCGTAATGACGTTGTGATCGTATCGATCTTCCTCGTCATACCGCGACGATAGCGGTGGCGCATCGCGCAGCGAGCGAATCGGATTCGAACGTTCAGAGAACGGATGCGGTGTCCGCAGGTCTCTTCTTGTTGGAGATCGCGCCGTTGAGCGCTAGACCTCACAGAGGAAGCTGGGGAAGACGCGGCACCAGCGTGCGACCTCGGAGAGGTTGGGTTGAAGTGATCCTCACTACCCATGGGCTCGTCGTAATCGACTTCGCTCTCTTCGAGTTCCGAGAACCAGACCATCGTTCCCTCTGGGGCGGCGCCCGCGGCTCTGACGAGCTTTGAGCTTTGCTCCTCTTCTTGTTGACGGCTCATGGAGCGTTGACCGTGTCGACGGCGATACTCTTGGTGGTACTCCGCCACCGAAAGAGACGAAGATGCTCTTGGAAGCATTGCGGAGCGCAGTTGGGGTCTGGGAACCACAAGCCAGGGCGGCCCGACCGCTGGAACGTTGCCCTGGGCTCAGAGTGCAATGCAAGGCATTCAGGATGCGAACGCGTTTGTGAGCTCGTGGAGCTGCAGAACGCACAGGTGAGGTCTAGTGACCTCCGTCGTCTTGACAAGACGTGACCCTCGCTGAGGAAAGTTCGAGAACGGAATGTTCTCATCTTAGTGAGGGAGAGTGTAACGGGGTTACATGGTGTGGAACACACAGGGGTACGAAGTACCCGGAGAGTTAACAAACTCTCAGTACATAAGTTGGAGAGTTAACAAGTGTCTCTCAGTACGTTGGCTGAAAGCCACACGTTATGCATTTGATTAGGTTTAACTATGCTAGATAGTTAAAGAGATACATTTACCCCTAGGCGGCTTGGCCGCAATAATAGTAAATAAATCACTTCTGGTTTTGAAGCATAAAAGTTAAGGTATTAACTTTGAGCCCTGGTCTTGGGCTGTAAGTGTCCTTTGGATAAGGAACTTAGTATTAGTGACTCTTTGAGTCGAACGTCTTCCTCTGACGCTAAAGCTACGGCAGCCCCGCTGCACTTGGTACGAGTGCTACCAAGTGTGACGGGGTCACACAGCACCTTGCGCTAGAGGAAGTTATCTTCCGAGAGTATACAAACTCTCAGTGAACGGCAGTTCACAAGTCCCCTCTTTAATTAAAGAGAGCGAAGTGACCCAAATAAGGTAGATTGTAAACTGAGTATATTTATAGGTAGGTTAAGTTTGGGTTTAATACAAACTGTTCGTTACCTATAGAAATGCAATGTCATTTAACCAATGGTTGGCTTTGAACGACCTTGGTACCTTGTACCAAATATCTCGGAGTATGACGTGTCATACTCCTGAAGTGTGAAGTGTCACACTTCATGTAACCAGGGTACACTTAGGGCTACGTACCCCGTTACACACAGAGTTGCTCCCTCTACTCATTGAATGCTGAGGTATGTTATTGGAAGACCGCGTTTCATTTAAATCACTGAAGAAGTTTGAACTTTCGTTTGCTGTAGGTACGCTGGTCGGACATGTACCGAAATTTGCGGCTTTTCTGCTTTTCAAGTCAAAACCGTAAAAACGGCGGAAGGCGTAAAATCTCGCCCAAGATACTCCTATCCATGTGAAACCGTCGCTTTGTTCACAATATTGAAAGGAAAAGGCGCGCTTTAACTGGGACAATGTTTTGATGCCAAACTGGTTAATTTTGCAGACAATTTTACGACCACTGGTTGCAAAGAATCGATCGAATGTACAAAAAATACCGTAAATTCTGGTACGTACAGTACATGTAGTAGTCCCTAAATATTAATAGCCTAAGTAGTACCGGTAAGTAGAGCATTACGAATGACACTGTGGTTGAAAAACTAACATTTCGCCTTAAGTCTACGTCGCCAGCCTTCCCGATCCAGAACGACAAATCTACGAAGGCTGACGGCAACTCCACCTACGCTCACTTCGTCTGCAGCACACCGGCGGCAATCAATTTCTCGATCTTGGCCATGATACCCGGGTTCTGCAGGTGACGCTGAGCGCCCGTCGGGTCCGTCTGGAAGTCGTTCAGCACATTCTGCATCACCGGGTCACGCAGAATGGCCTGGATCTCTGGGTCAGCCATGCCGTGTCGAGCACGCTCCTCATCGGTCTCGCCGCTCTGGATCTTGTACATCACATTCCGCATTCCGTCGAGGCACTCCTGGTGGTTCGGGTCAAGCGCCAGACCCTTCTCGTAGCTCTCACGGGCCTTGTGGAACTCCTTCATGAAGCACTGAATAGCTCCCATACGCGAGTACGCCTTGACGTACTTGGGATCGAGCTCGATGGCCTTCTCACAGTCTTTCTTGGCCTCGTTAAACGACGTCAGCTTCGTGTACGCAGCCGCGCGGTTGGCGTAGTACACAGCGCACGACGGATCGCGCTTGATGGCCTCCGTGTAGCGCTCGACAGCCTGGGGGAACTCGCCGTTCTTGAAAAACTCGTTGCCTTCGTTCTTGGCTGCCAAAGCCTTCTCCGGGTCAATGTACGCCAGTTCCTTGGTCTTACGCAGCTTCACCTGCAGCGCCTTGATCTTGCGCTCCACGTCCTTGGTGCGGTTCTCCATCTGCGCGCCTTCGTACGCGTCGATAGCAGCCGTCAGGTTCTCCTCCGTCTCGCCCTTCTTCAACTGAGCATTGCCGATACGCACGTACGCCTTGGCAATCAACGCGTAGTCTGCGCGGTTAGCACGTCCAACTTCAATGGCTTTCCTGAAAAATCACAATAAAATAACCGAAATTCACATCAGTATCCAGCAGTTTTAAGCTGCGAAAAAAAACAGTAAAAAAAACATACTTGCAGTCCTCGATACAAGCGTCGTACTGGCCCATCTCCAGCTTCACGGCAGCCAAGTTGCTGTAGTACGACATGTTGGCAGCGTCCTTCTCGATGGCTTCATTGTAGCACTCGATAGCCTCCGAGAACTTCTTCTGCTTGTAGAAGGCATTACCGCGTTGCTTGGCCTCGTCGGCGGCCTTCTTCGCAGCACGCTCAGCCTTCTCCTCCTCGGTCAGATCCTCTTCCATCGGTGTAGGCGCGGGCGTAGGCGTGGGCTCGGCTTTCTTGGGTGCAGGTGTGGCGGCAGGCATCTCCTCGTCCTCAGCGCCGTCCATGTTGATGTTGAGTCCCATAAGTTCGCCCAGTACCGTCATGACGCGCGTGTCCTTAATGTGTTCGTTGATCTTGGACGGATCACGCTGGATTTCCTGCAACACCTTAACGAACTCCGGGTCGCCCAGCATCGGCGCCAGACGCGGGTTGGTCGCGATCTTGCCGAACATTTCGGGTCCAAAGGCGTTTGCCAGCGGGTTAAACGCCTGTGCGGCGGAAGCTTGCGCCTTCCTGACCTCCTCGATGCCGCTTAGACACGCAGCGTTGCCGGCATCCACCTTAAGACCGTCATTGTAAGCGGCTGTGGCGTCGTCGTAGCGCTTAAGTGCGTGGAGCGCGGCGCCCTTGCGACTGTAGGCCTTGGGCCAGTCAGGCTTCGTCGAAATACACAGCTCGGCGTCCTCAAGAGCGTGAGCGGCGTCGTCCAGCGACAGATACGCAGCCGAACGGTTCGAGTAGAAGACGTGGTCGTTCGGGTCTAGTGCGATGGCCTGCGTGTAGCAGTCCACAGCCTCCTTGGGGTTGCCAGCGCTCAACGCCGCATTGCCCTTGGCTTTCCACTCAGCAGCAGTCTGTCAGATTTGATATTTGCCATTGGTTAGTGAAAATGCAAAATAGTTGGTGAGAATTGCCAATGGACACTCAACCTGTGCCATGATCTCTTGGCTTCTTGTGATGCTTTTCCGCAACTGAGTCGAGTTCCACTCGATCGATCCTTTGGCCAGAAGGGTGAAATTCTGGAATTGTCCAGGTGACTCGACTAAGTGCGAGATGATAGCAAAAAATGAACAAAAAAGGTGTAGCCATTTTGATGGCAAGAACATGCGTGATCTTTATTTTTTCACGGGGCTTCATCCTGGGCCACTACTGTTTCTGCTGTACGTGGCTTGAGTCGCGATGACTGGCTGATGCCGATCTGCGTAAGAGGCTGCACCAAAGTTGCCGGCGTCACCACTCGACTAGGCAGCGCCAACTTCTTGAGACTACTACCGCTGGTAGCAAATGGATACATTTTAGCGACAACCTGGAAGTGATACCTAGCACTTAGATTTATAGTACCTGGACTCGTGGAACCGTTTAAGCTCCTTGGTGACAGGTGTGGAGAAGAGATCGACCTCGCAGTCTGTTGGATCTTGTGGCCTCATCTTGCGCTTCTGACTCGGACTGCTGTCTACCAACACTGGATTGAGCACAGCACATTGGTTAGTTTATCTTTAAGGCTTGATACCTCGTCAAGTTATGAACAAGTGCAGCAGCGTACGGCAAGGAGCCGAAGATCTTATAGCTGAGAGCTTGCTGTGCGAGCCTCGACGTGCTCGCTCTGGGGTTTCGTACAGTACAAGACCTGACCGAATAGCGTTGGCTCTCTGAGAAGACGACGTGGTAGTCTGTGTGGTAGTTGCCAAGAAGTCGACGGACACGGAGGGCACCAAGTTGGATGCGCCATTGTTGGTGCCCTGTGTATTGCCACCTGGATAGACGACCACCACAGGCTCGTGTGATGCTGAATCTGTGCGCTGTTCATCAGCCGATACAGGCACCACGTGGGCTCCTAGATGGCCGGGAGGAGGACACTGATACTCGACTTCCCACCACGGGACGACGTCGCTGCTGCAACTGCTGGACGTTGACGCCGGTGTCGATTGCCTCGTAGTGGAAACTACGTCGCCATTGGTAGTGCAGTCGGCGTCGATCTTCAAGGACAATCGCGATTTGCCCGAGGCGAATCCTTTCCTGGATCGCTGCAGGCGAGACCCGAGACTCCGGTTCGGTGGGGCAGTGGTCGCAGTGGAGGGCGCGACTAGAAAAGGCTGGCCATCTATGCTAGCGGGGGCGTCGCGGCGGTGTGAGGAGTTGTCGGTGCCTTTGGCGCTGTCCATCATGGGTGCTAGTGTGAGGGCGGCGAAGAAGATCGATCTGTCTTATGCCTGATGACGCCCCAAGTAGAAACAAGAAGATATAGAGCCAGCCGTCGCTCCAAGAGATCCTCGAGAGCGGCGGCGGCGTTCTAAGGGCCGCTGGCAGCAGTTGTGCCGGTCTGAGCAGCCGTGGCCCGTGACATGGAACCGTTTCGTAGATTCTATACCTCCCTCTGTAACTGAGGCATCCGAAATGAGGACGCTAAACTTATCCGAGGCACTACATGTAGAGTACCATGAAATGATCATCGCCCGGCCTTCTTCTGGTGCTTGGCAATGTTCCTACAAAAGTTGCTGGATCCGGAAGATGAACAGCGGCGCCGTGTTCGACGTGCTCGGATCGTGCGCCGCAACCGCATCAAGCGAGAGGTTGGCAAAGGTTTACCCATTCGAAAGCCACGAGTACCTCGAGCTGGTGACTATGCACTCAACTTGGACAGCGAAGCGGACACCGCTGAATGGAATGAACCCAAGTCGCCGTTCCGACCCACGTTCGGTGGCAATTCGGACGAACAGCAAGCAGCACTGAATCCATTTCATGATGCGCCTCTGCAAGCCACAAAGACATCGTTTTCTTCTACAAGTAGCAGGCCATTCGTACCAAGACCGTCCGATACAGTTGTGCCCTCAACTCTGTCAGTACCGGTGCCCTCTAAATTGATTTCGTCACGAGTCAAAGCTAAGTGGCAAAATGTTTATCAGCAAATTGTTTTTAACCGCCACGAAGAAATTTTGGCAAAAGATCCGAATCGAAAGTGGCGCCAGGAACGTTTTGGTTTGTTGCTTTTTGCAAAAGGTGAATATGCTCGAGCTAGTGAACATTTGAGTACAGCCGTCAGTCTTGGAGCTACTTCCAGCCTCTGCTGGCGACGACTTGCAGAGAGCTACTACCACATGTGGGAAGACGGTGGAGAGTGGGAAACTCTGTGGGCCTGTCGTGCCGCATACGAACAAGCTCTCACTCACGTGGCAGTTGCTGGCAGTCCACTCGCGCTGTTCGCGTACGCCAAAGTGCTGGAATGTTTGGGCAACTTCTCTGGTGCATTGACCATCTGCACGTCAATAATCCAGACTTTCCCCAACTTCGAAGAGCTACGAGAAGTCAAACTTCGCTTCGTTCTGCTTCAACGGTATCAACTCTTTTCGTCGTCTACTGATCCTGTCATGAAGCTCTCAGTATTAACCAAATGCATCGGATACACACAAGAACTTCTGCTGGATCAAGTCATCACCGAGGTTTGTCTATATGTGTATGTTGTAGCATTGTGTAATGTAATCTGACGCATACTTCTCGTTCTTCAGGGCTCGCGGTATCTCAACGTCATGTACTTGCACACACGGTTAAGCGAAATGCTGGAAGAGCTTTCGACTCCATCGCCTGCAATACCGAAACAAGCTCACGTCAATGTTGATATTCTGTTCCAAGAGCTCTACAAACTGGCACTGAAAACCTCTGACGTTGCTCCTCCACCTGGTACGAAGTGGAAGGCTTGGAAGCGCCATAGTGACACGTATACAGCATTCGCAGAGTATTTCCGAGCTCAGGGTGACAGCGTTCTCGCATCTGACGCGTTGTCTCGCGCTCTTGAGCTGGTAGAAGAAAGTGACAGCTCTCAGAAGACGACTCATCACTTGACGGAGGAGCAGCGACAAAAGCGTGTTGCGTTATACGTAGTACTAGCACGCAACTACTACCAGTGCAACCAGATGGAGAAGGCCATTCGAGCCATGGAGGCGGTGTTTGGTCTTGATCCTCTACATGCTGAAGCTCGTGCTAGTCTCGTGGAATGGTTCCCTACAAAATGGCAGTTCGTGACGATCTGATGCTCGTTTAAACGTCAACTTTCTGTACTAACACGGGTCTTTTACTGCAGATACCGACTCGAGCTGGAGGATGCCAGCCAGGTGCAAATTGCTCGAGTTCTTCGCGGTATTTGGGGTCGCAAGATTGCTCTAACACGTCGTCGGGAGGCCCAGCGGATAGCCGAGCGTCGGTATCGTGATAATCCTTATCATCCTGGCACTCGACGGCTGGTTCTTCGTCTGCTGCGAGACAAATACGCGTCGCTGTTTGCAGCTCAGGAGATGGCAGCTCGATGCATTCAGCGTCGAGCCTATCGTTATCTCCACTATGCGCGAGTGCGATGGAAAGTCGAAGACCAGCGAGAAAAAACTCTCCACGCTCTTGTGAGTCGCTTCAAACCTTAATGAGGTGTGTGGACTAGGCTGACGCGACTTTAATAACAGAAAAGCAAGCACCAGACACGGAAGTATCGATACAATCGCCAAGTGCGCAGCCAACTGGCAGCTTTACTGCCGAATGAGTACGAGTATCGCTTCTTTCGCGAGGATTGTGCTGCTCTGCGTATACAGGTGCGTAGATTGTCTACCAGAGCAGATTTCGCAGTGTACTGAGCTGTAAACGGCTACATCCAGAGATGTTTCCGAGGCAACAGAACTCGGAAAGTGTTTCGACCTCTTCGAGATGCTCAGAGACGAGAAATCCTGCGTCAACAGGACGCAGCGCAACGCATTCAACACTTTCTACGTCGATATTGTTGCCCAGCCAAGTCTTCTCCCCCTGTAGACGATCTTCTCTTCCGTGCGCAACAGAAACTCGTTCGTGACAAGGAACGTCTGGCTGCGATGCTTGGGCGTCTGCACCGTCGCTGGAAACGTGCTAAATCACGAAAAGAATCCGTGCTGCTGTTTGCGCTCCAAGCCGAAGCCACCGAACAGCGTCGGATTATTGTCGAGAACGCCAGTGCTACCAAGATCCAGCGCTTGTGGCGTTGGTACACTGCTGGTCAGGCACTAGAAGACCGGACTAGCAGTCAAGCGCAAGTATTCCTTGTCGAGCATTTATTCTCCGCACAGAGACGTCAGATCACCTTTGAGGTCGATCTCAACCACGCAGCTCGCCAGATTCAGGCGGTATATCGAGGTAAACGCATGCGCAGGTTTCTCCAGATCTTGCGAACTCGACTCCCAGCTCCACCATGCGTCAGTCCAGTCGCCACGTTGATCGGTAACTGTGAAGCGAATCATCGGAAAGGAACAGAGACGATGGCAACGCTGCACTCGATCGACAGTCTGGACGAGAAACGCTCGCTGTTCGATCACCCAGTCCTCGTTCTTCGCGGTGCTCGTGTACTGTCTCGACCTGATTCTCCCTCGTCCAGTGAACGCTTCCCTTTACAGCACGTGGTTTCTGCGATCCAGTACAGCTCTGTATTGAAGTCTCTGATCTGTGCAAGTGGCGACTTCGAAGGAGATCGAATACTGAAGATCCTCCACGCGCTTCAGAGTAGAAGAACCTTGAGAATCCTGGCCTTGGGCGGCATCAGCGTCGAGGAGAAAGGACCCTCTAATCAAGATTCAGACGCGACGAATTGTCAGAATGTAAACGAAAGAAAAACCGGTACGACATCTTCCCCTCTCGGTCAACTGGTAGTTGTGCAGTCGCCACTAGTGCCGTACCAAAAGAGTCCACTTAGTCCCATGCAGCTTCTCTCCAAGGCTTTGTGTACATCCAATTTCCTACTGGAAGAGCTGTATCTGGAACGCAATGAGCTGCTTCGAACGCCTCAAGAAGGCGCCATCGTAGCTGGGGTAGTAGCCGACTACTTCTTCGCGAGATATGGTCACCTCCACACGCTGGTTATCGCCCACATGCATCTTTCAGACGCCAACGGTGCACTCCTCGGCGCTGCTCTGGTCATCAACACGGTACTGCAGAAACTGGATCTTCATGGCAATTTACTGTACGACGGAGCTGCCATCGCAATCGCCAACGACGGACTCGCCTTCAACGAGACATTGCGATACTTGAACTTGGCTGAGAACCGAATTGGCAGTTCTGGAGGCAAAGCTCTGTTCAGGTGCTTGAACGCCAGTAATCGAGCACTCCAAACGCTCATTCTGAACAATAATTACCTGATGAACGATGTTGTACCCATCTTGGCTGAGACGTGGCAAGTGAACGCGGTGATTGAGAGCGTTGAACTCGCTGGCAACCTCATCCACGATCGTTGTGTAGCTGAGATCCAATCTGCTGTTGCTGAACGTCGTGAAGTTGCACCATCGACCGACAATCACGAGTTGCGTCTCCTGTTAGCCCGAAAGCGGTTCGGTGCCCACGATACTCGTTCTCCATTTAGTCGACGAGGAATCAACTTCTCCACTCCCTTCACTTCCCCTGGGAAGAATAAAAACAAGAAGACGAATACGCCTTTGTCTCCGAAGAAGTGGCTGAGTACCAACACGCCCAAGATCAGCTCGCCAATCGCCTTCCCAACGTCGACGAACAGACAAGCGAACGAGGTGTTAACTACGACTGTAGAAAGTGGCTACACATCTACTGTTCGACCACTTAAATATATGAAGGGGACTCCTATGTCACCTGCTCGATTGGCGGCGCTATCGAAACTTCCAGCATTACCGGAAAAGAAGCGACTGGCCTGGTAATTTTTAAATATTAAAAAAATATTAAATTGCATCTGCAACCGAGTCGGTAGTACCGACAGTAAAAAAAATGGTGCTGCAGCAACAAAGTGTGTACATTTAAGAAGAAGAAAAAACATTCTGCTACTGTTCGCTATCTCAATAGGTCGACGCTGCGGCGATCGTCCCGACTCTCATGGCGAAAGTGCCCATGACGATGAACCCGTTCTGGAACACGATTGCTGCTCCTGGCCACGCTGACTCGTTAACCTCGTTGTTGACGTATGTGTGTGTGAACACCAGTACAGATCCCACCAGCGCTGCCACTGACAGTGCCATGCAGAACACCACGAAGCACCTACCAGTAGCGAAAAGTATGAATACTGGGACGTCTAATACTACTACATTGACCTGGTGGCTGCTTACCGAGCTCTAGTGGCCACCTCGGATCCGTAGGTGAAACGTGCATCTTCAGATAGCATACCCCAGTCCACTGTGTTCACCCTGAAGCAGCAAAAGTTAATTGAAACTCGAGGAAGATACTTTGCCAAAGTATTACTATTCCTTACAGAAAGAAAGCGAGAGTCGAGACGATGCCCGGCAGGTACTTGACGAAGTTAAAGGGGATCTGCGAGTTGTGATAGGCCGCTGATGCCGCGCCATCCGCCAGCACCCACCAGCCCACACCCACCAGCAGCCCCGAGACGTAGCTGCCCGCCTTGCCTGGATCCACACCCATCGTTGAAGTCGAAGTACTATTCTGACAAGCTCGGCAAGCACCCTCGCTCTAATGACATCATGACACCTTCAGCAATCTATATTTCAATCATTCCAACAAAGATGGAGCTTTCTCGAGCTGAGAGCGCGCTGCGGACGCTCAAGAACCGCCCCAAGGTGCCGCAACCCGCGGTCGACACGGCGCTTGCTGTCCTTGAGTTGATCTGCCCCTCCAAGATCTTGTCGGAGTCGCCCACACAGACGTCTGACGTCGCTCCGTCAGCTGATGAGGAGACAAAACGCGAGCAGCTTCAGGAAGAGCTCCAGACGCTTTTACTGCACGGAAAAGAGCGTTGGGAGCCCGTCGCCGTGTTCCTCGTGGTCGTACGCGATCTTCTGAGTCGCTATCTTGATCTATCGGACCTGGACGCCAACACAGACTTCAGTGTGCCCTCTCCTGACCTCCCGCTCTATGTCTCGAGCATCGCGCCGCTATCCGACGTCTTCGTGACGCAGACAGTCAAGCAAGCCGTCCACCAACACATGGAGTACTACGAGCCTCGAGTGCGCATGGCAGTGGCCAAACTACTGGGCGTCTTGGCCAAATGGGACTTGCATTGGGTCACTCAAGAGTTCACGCCCCAGATCGTCGACTCGGTCGTGTCAAACCTCAGTCGCTCGCCTGATTTCGAGGAAACAGGCTTCGACGAGCTGGACGACAACGTCAGTAACAACGGGATGATCACCCCGCCTCAGAGTCCCGAGGGAACGCCTCGAACCCCGTCCACTCCCTACAGACTGGACGATGTGAGTGGCTGGAAGGCGCTGGAGAGCTCATTATGTGCGTTGAAATACATCATCAAGGGCAGTGGCGTGGAGTTCCTAAAGGAGCAGACGACAGGAGACGGAGACGAGGCATTCGTCTACTTAACGCCGCAGATTCTGGAGCTGGTGGCGACCAAGAGCTGCTTCCACATCAATCGCCACGTGCGCGTCGTGGGCTTGGACACCATCACGGTACTGTCGGACATTGCCCCTGTGGGGTTCCTGGAAGCCCATCAAACAGCAGTAGGCGACACTCTGAACAAGTGTATCAAGCGTGGAATGGAGGACAACTGGTGCCAGGTGCGCTACGCGGCGTCCATCTCTGCTCGTTCCTTCTTGCTGAAGCTGCAGGAGCAAGGACGTGCAGCTTATCTGCCTATTCTCCTGCCCCGACTCTGTCTCAACCGCTACTACATTGCGGAACGCGTGCAGAAATACTCGCAGGAGTCGTGGAGGATGATCGTGGGCGAGCAAGGACGCGAACTGGTGGCCAAATACGCCACCGAGATCGTCGACTATTACGTGGAGATGACGAGTCATTGCGTGCGAGAATCAGCCTGCCAGTGCATCGCTGAGCTCGGGATGAAGGTCGATCCGACTGCTATCCGCCCGCACGTCGGCCGGCTGATGCAAGCGCTGCTCATTTGCTTCTACGACGTGTCCAACTTGGTGCGTGACGCTGCGTGTCTGGCTTCAGCACAGCTGGTTCGTGGCTTCCCGGACGAGTGTCGGCCGTTCCTGGACGAGCTGTATCATCTGTGGATCGACCACCTCTCGGACGACATTTGGTCGGTACGGGAAGACGCCGCGATCGCTCTGGGGAATGTGATCCGTGCGTACGGCCAAGAAGCGCTGGATCGCGTCGTCAAAGTCACGGAGGAATACCTGCCTCTCGCCAAGAAACAGCCAGCCATGACGCAGCAGGAATACGACGAAATCATGCGCTCGGAGAAGAAACATTTGAGTAAACAGGCCTTCTCGTGCTGTTCGCTGGAGCCCAAGCTGTTCGAGCGTCATGAACATCGCGACAAGGAGCCGTGGGAGCACACGGACGGCGCGATCTACATGGTGCGCGAGCTGTGTGCTGTGGCTCCCGACGTGGCTGTCACGTACCTCCCGCAAGTGGCCGACGTTGCGATCCTGCGTCATTTCCCTCAGACTGCAGTCTTGCAGGAGACGATCTGGAAGCAGCTGCCGCTCATGTGCGAGGCGCTGGGCAAGAAGGTGTTCAAGCGCTACCTCGAGCTCTTCTTCGACCCGCTGGTCTTCACGCTGCAAGGCACCAACCGCCTCGCTAAGTTCGCAGCTCGCGACTGTGTGGCGCAGATCAGCAAGCAGATCGGACCCAGCATTTTCCTCGGTCGTCTGGATGCGAACCCCACGTGGAAAGAGGCGCTGGGTCCTGTGGTTCCAGTGCAGTCCTACATGATCAAGTAAGTGGCTGGTCCAGTGTCAAGACAGGGCAAGAGAGGCAAACGGGAGAGCAATTGGCAACGTCAACATGAGCACGATCGATTTGTGGAATTGTTTATCATGTTTTTGTGTCTTCGCTAGCTGCTGATCGTTTGCGCTTGATACGTGTAGAGTTGACGCTACTGGGAGATGACTCAAGCGCGTCGATACTCCACTGGACCTTGAGGCGTCACGATGACCGGCACTTGGCCTTCGTACTGCATCTGCTGCTGCAATTTCTTCTTCTTCCGGTACACGGTGCAGTACCACATGAACGCATTCCCCGCGATGAACGCGCAGATGATCAGGATCAGGCTCAGAATTCCTCCCATGGGCGTGTTGGCGAGAAATGAAAAGTGCGAAAGGAGGTGGGAACAGGAGCAAGATTATCAGTTTTCGATATTTTTTACTTGCTATGTTTGTTGAGACAAAGAGGGCTATTTTTTTTAAAGAGATCCAGTCTTAAAAACGTTTCGTTCTCATGGGCTGCGTAGTTTCTCACAGCGTCTCGATCGCCAGCGCGAGTCGCGTCCGCGAGGGAATTCTGGTCGCTCTGGGACGTCATTGCAGTGGAAACCAGGACGTGTCCAGTCAATCGACGCGATCGTGGCTGACCGCGTGCTTTGACCGATATGACAAGGTAGATTTTTCTAGAAGCTGTTAATTTTTGTTTTGCATTTATTCTTTGGAATTACTTTTTTCCATCTATAGAACAGCTCTGGCTTCGTATCGTGCGATGCAGTGCTCAACGTCGTCGCAGAACTTCCACTATTCCGGATTCAGGACTGGTCTGCGGATGAAGTTTCCCAATTCTGCTCCTTCTTCTTTCGAGGCGAAGAAGTCGAGCGAAACTTCGACTATCGACTGTTTCTAGACTACCTCTTCTTCCCGGTTTGCCAGCACACGCCTCGGATTAAATTGAAGAAACAGATTGCTGTCGATGATATTTTCATCATTCATGAAGGAAATTATCTGTTATCAACAGAAGACTCAGAAGAACGTCCATGCAACTATGAGTCAGTAATAATTAAACAACTCGATTTGAAGAAGTTTGCTGCTGGAACGGAGGAGCGCGTGGCTCAACTGCGACGTCGAGTGAACGAGTTGCGGCTGCTCAGTCATCCGAATCTGACCACCTTTCAGACCACAGTACAGAACGGAAGTTCGCTGTACGTGATTCAGGAACACCACCAGATCTGCACGTTGAAGACGATTCTGGAGTCGTTTGGTCCGATGAAGGAGCCCACAATTCGTCGCTATCTTCTGCAGATCCTTCAGGCGCTGACGTTTCTACATGATCATGGCGTACAACACGGGTGGGCATTGCACTGTCATTTGGAAGGAAATTTGCTCTTAGCTGCTAACATAATTGTTGTTTCACATCCAGGAACCTGACGATGCAAACAGCTCAAATCGACAGCTACGGTCTTCTCAAACTTACAGATTTCGGGATTCGACGCCATTTGCTTTCTCTATCCTCCTACTCTGAGTCTGAAGAGGACGAAGAGAAAAGGAAAACGTTGGTGGGTACCTAAAAAAGAGTCTTGACGTAGTCGTAACACCTTTGCCAACGCTTTGTTTTGCTTTGTTGCAGCCGCCTGAGGTCCTTCGAGACTGTCGTTTGTGGGGCGACAAGACAGACGTGTGGTGTGTCGGTATGCTGACACTACAGATGGCCAACGGGTTGTCGAAATATCCACCCGAACAAGTATTCGATCAGCCCAAGAGCAGAACTCCCTCTCGCAACACTCGCTTGCAGCCGAGTCGATCTCCCATGAAAAAACAAGAATTGGAGTCGATTGGTGGCCTTCCACTTCCTGAATGTGCGTCGAAAAACCTCAAGTGCTTTGTCCGTGCATGCACGCAACGTGATCCCCGCAATCGCTCGTCGGTTAAGGAGTTGCTGGAGATGGGGTTCTTCCAAATCGACCAAACTAAGGAGACGAACGAAGTGTTGCGTGCAGTCTGCACCGACTTGGACGCGACCATGCGGAAGCTCAGGTCTTCTTCTCCCACGCCGCTTAGGCGAAAATCTACGTGTAGAGGCTGAGAAGAACGCAGCAAGTTCGGGATTCCATACATAATTTTATTTCGATATGAGTTCGTTAATCTTTGACGAATTTGCGCGAACTGCAGCAATGACATCTTTGGCTTGTTTCGTCAGATGAGGGTTCAGCAGAGCTCCAGTGGCCAGAGAAGCCTTCAGAGGAGACTTAATATCTTTGAATCTATTCTTCTTCTTGGGTTTGCGGGTCTTCGACGGGGAGTCGGAATGTTGATGATCGTCAAGCTCCAGCATTCTCCCTGGCGAGCGGAAAGTCGGTGCAGATGCTGAGAAGCCAAGACTTGTCGATTCCTCCGTCGTAAAATGTTTTTGTATCGTCTCTTTAATGTAGTCGCGCATGTTGGCGTTCTTAGCGCCCGTGGGGTAGAAGAGCTTGATCTCATCGCTCTTGTCGAGCTTCCGCAGCTTCAGTTTGGTAGTGGACTCGACCTCTGGTTTTGCTACCGACGAAGGAGTTACTGGTCGTAGAAGGGACGTGGCAGGGTCGAAGATCCCGGTATGACTCAAATCGGGCAGCTGGATGGGCTCTAGAAGGAGGTGCACAGACGACAGCAATTCGTCAAGTTGAGCCGCGTCCTCCCAATTTTTCCAGTTGTTTCTATTCAAGGGACTGGAGTATGTCGGATTCTTGTGCTGGAGATCATGCTGTGCGATCTCTTGTCGCGACTGAGGCAACAAACGGCTAGAGTGAAATGATAACACGTCCAGAAACGGAGGAGGATCGATGGGTGTGCGCCTCAGCACTAGTGGCCGGCCAATGGTATTCAGAGGTGTGGATTCATCAACCGCCGTAGCTTCCACGACTTGATGGTCTTCCATTCAGTTGTCTAGTATGTTGAAGAGACACCTTCGAACGGAGCCCAAGCTTCTGAAAAAAAAAAACTGACGTGTCTTTGCGGTTACTCAAGAAAATCGATTTTTTTTCCTACAAGTCTGGGTACTAGGGATGAAGATGCGTGTGATGTGAGATATCGGAGAGTTGAAAAGTAAGTATTTAACGTCATACCATGCTCAGCACAGTCAGACGATGTCGGCAACTTTAGTTCGTCATTCTCCCAGAGTACATCAGCATTTTTATATGATCCTATCACTCTACTATTCATACACGCACCGACAGAATTGCGACACCAAATGCGTCCGCTACCACGAAGAAGCAACCTGATTGAGCTCTTGGTCGGAGGCTAAATTGAAAGTGGAAGAGTGGACAATAGGTAAGTTTAACAGAGCGCGTACAGGAGGTATCAAAGCCATGTATGTGGTCGTAGTGAGCAGTTTGGCAGGCCATAGTTAATGGTACTACATGTACTGTAGTTGACTTGTCTGCGATTGAGGAGCTGCTCTAATCTCGAAGCTGAATAATCATGCCGGGGACGCCGCCGCATTAAACATGTTCAGAATGTTCATCGAGGAGGTAAAGTACATGTCAGCTCCGTCAACTTAATTAATTACGGTAAATCATTGACAGTGGATAATCATGTCCAGGTTATGTCCTTACGCAATGCTGTGCGAACATTCGTTGTGGGTCATTGTTCATACTAGAAATACAACTGCATCTTCAGGACCTTTGTTCACGTATCTAGCCTCTTGTTGTCTGGCAGTTAGCTCCATGTCATCATCAGCGGTTTATAGTAAATTGCATTTTCGGTCAATAATAATATCAAAATCTCTAAGCATCTTTTAAGTATATTTATCATTACCGATCCTAGAATGCAAAGGGGTACTTCAAAAGATATTGAGTAGTATATCGAAGATTGACTAGCAATTGACGCCATAACAGGCAGGTTTGCAAACAACAAAAAGCAGTAATAGCGACAAGGGCGTATTAATCGATATTTCCGCTGGGGAACACAAGTGCAACTCTCACTTTAATCTCAGTCGCGACAAAATTGTAGTAGTCTCGCCTTAATTTAAGGCAACCCTGGTATTTTTTCAATTTCTTAAGATTTCTAAAAGTATCGCAACTTAGCTAAATATCATACTCGAGTACCGGTAAGCAACATACCACAGTATTATTAATGCTCTATTCTCAACTACCGGTATCAGGAATTCAGACTCTGAATACTACTAAGTAGTATTAATATGAATTAGTAGTAATATACCGTATTTGAGATCTCCTACTTCAGAGTGATCTCCTAATTCAGACTGCCCTCCAACCAATCACATATCGAGAATGGAACAGCGCACAAGTCTAGATCTCCTAATTCAGAGTACAAAAAACGTGCTAAGCTGTAACTATCCACCCAGAAATTCGCAATGGCGCGCACTCCCGGCCAACGGAAAGGGAGAACCCGTATTTCTGGCACTGGCAAGCCTCCCAAGAAGTTCAAGCGCGTTGCCATTTCATACGCCTACAAGCTTTCGGTTGTGGAGGGAACCTGATTGGGAGCTGCTACGACGGTTGCTGGAAGAAGTGCCCGTAGTGCGCCATGCTGTGGATACGCGTCACGACAGAAAACTTCGTAGTTCCCGAAGAAGAACTTGATAGCTAAATTGTTTTGTTTAAATAATACGTGATAGAGATGCGTCGGTACATGTACAGATCTTGTCTATTTTGCAACAATACAACTTCAAAAATATTGGGGAGATCTGTAATTTAGAGTTTGATAAAGCGCTATTTAAAAAAAATAATGACAGCTGTAGTAAATAGGAGCTGTTGTAAGTTATTAAGCAATATAAAATTCTCGTTGACCAAGTTGCATCCTATCTCTCCTGCGGGTGCAAGTTCTCACGCCTTGAACAAGCTACAGAAGCACTTTCCCACGGAGGAATCGCTAAGTCTAGGTTTATCTGCATCTGCTCCGATACTGGAAGCTTGACAGTCAACAATGTACAGTATCACAATTCGTCGCAGCTTTAAGCTCCGTCTCCTGGGTGTAGACACGCATGTTAGCAATCTTTGTGCTCGTGGGATAGAAAAGTTTAATTGCGTCGCTCTTGTCGAGCTTCCTCAGCTTCAGTTTAATAGTCGACTCGACCTTCGATGTTGCTACCGTCAAGGAAGCTACTGGTCGTAGAAGTGACGTAGTGGCTACCCAATGGAATTAGGGGTGCGGACTCGTCGGCCGCCGTTGCTTCCAGGACTCGATGATGACCTTCCAGTCAATTGTCGAAGAGACCCGCAAACAAACTTCATTCCGAATTAAGAATACCCTATACAGTGTACTGACACAACCATGCAAAAAAAGAAACTAGTCTGCATGTATCGAGGGATATCGGAGAGTTGAAAAATAAGTATTTAACGTCATACCATGCTCAGCACAGTCAGGCGATGTCGGCAACTTTAGTTCGCCATTCTCCCAGAGTACATCAGCATTTTATGATCCTAGCACTCTACTATTCATACACGCACCGACAGAATAGCGACACCAAATGCGTCCGCTACCACGAAGAAGCAACCTGATTGAGCTCTTGGTCGGAGGCTAAATTGAAAGTGGAAGAGTGGACAATAGGTAAGTTTAACAGAGCGCGTACAGGTATCAAAGCCATGTAGTAGTCGTAGTGAGCAGTTTAGCAGGCCATAGTTAATGGTACTACATGTACTGTAGTTGACTTGTCTGCGATTGAGGAGCTGCTCTAATCTCGAAGCTGAATAATCATGCCGGGGACGCTGCCACATTAAACATTTTCAGAATGTTCGTCGAGGGCATGTTTGCTATTTTGCATGAGGTACAGTACATGTCAACTCCGTCAACTTAATCAAGGTACGGTAAATCACTAAAAAGTGAATAATCATGTCCAGGTTATGTCCACACGCAATGCTGTGCGAACGTTTGTTGTGGGTGTCCATATTGTTCATACTAGAAGTACAAGTGCATCTTCAGGACCTTTGCTCACGTATCTAGCCTCTCAGTGACGCTTCCGGCTGTGTTGTCTGGCAGTTAGCTCCATGTCATCATCAGCGGTTAATAGTAAATGCATTTTCGGTCAATAATAATATCAAAATCTCTCAGTATCTTTTAAGATCTCTCCTGCGAGTGCAAGTTCTCACGCCTTGAACAAGCAGTTAAAAGCTGCGACGAATTGAGCAAACGAGAAGCGCTGCTGATTGTTGTTCGCCTTCAATCGAAGTACCATCTCCTCAGCTGAAAGTGCGTCTCGATCAAGTGGGGTGAGTGTTTGGAATGCAGCCAGCGCTGCTTCCAACGGTACAGTGCCATCTCTTGTGTCCGGTGCCAGCCGCAAGAAGACGCTACGCAGCAGCACCTGCGAGTCTTCGTATCTCCGTAACTCTGTCTGCAAACTCTCTAGACGCGCTTGTAGAGGAGCCAAACGAGCCTTCTCGCAGTCGATCTTGAGATGCCACTGGCGAAGTTCCTCCTTGTATCTCTCGGTCGTGACTTCCAGGCTTGACAGCTCGTTCTGCAGCGCAGCCTTAGTAGACGCATTTACACTCACTCGGGTGGCATCCACTTGTAAAGTAGACGCGTGTGGCTGAGTTTCTAGAGCTCGCTTTTCCTCCAATAACCGCGAGATCTCAACTTGCAGGTCCACCAGAGTGCACAGATGTCGACGAGGCACGCGCGACAGCTTCGCTCTCATCTCATCTCGTTGCTTCTGCTTGCGTTGTACTGTGAGCTGCTTATCCTGCGCCGCTGTCTTCAATGCGAGAAGCTCCTCAGCTAAGTATTGATTCTCGAGTTTCTGGTCCAGTACGCGTTCCCCCCACTCTGTTGTGGTTTTTGGCTTCAAAGAGCTTCTGATATTCCCACTAGAACTGCTATTGAGAGTGGCAGATCGGGGCACTTGACGCATCACATTTGCCAGCGTTGCGCTCGTTTTCAGCCCCTGTAGTTCGCTCTTGAGTGAGGCAGCCACTTGTTCCTTTTCGGCAAGTTGCATTGTCAGCACATGCACTTGATTTGTCAGCGTTTTCTTCTCCTGACGCAACTCTTGACGCATCTCACGCAGCGTATCTTCGTCACGAAAGAACGCTGCTGAAGTGCGCATAAAAGCTCTTGCAGATTTGACAAGCTTCTGAGAATTGGTAGTGATCGACGTTATCGTGGGAGCTTCTCTTACAAAAGTTGAATGAGCTAATTTTTCGTCATTATCTTGCTCGGTTGGGTCTTCCACTTCTTTATCTTTATATTCATCCTCATATTCCTCGTCACTGTCTTCTTCTGGGTCGTTTACTGGTTTCTCCTCTCGATCGTCTTCTTCACTAAGTGACGCAATGTCACCCGACACACTCTCGCCTCGTTCACTTGCTGATTTGGACAGGAACTTGATCGGATACTCGCCTCCGTCTAGCTACAGGAACGAGTTAGCCAAAACCCGACGGCCTCAAGCCCAACAAAGCTCACTCATTACCTCCCACTGCTCCTCGCCGTCGTCGTACTTGACGTAGTAGCCTCTTTCCGCCGAGTACGCGTCCACTTTCCCCTCGAACCACTCGTCCTCACCCTCCCAGAAGACTTGCACACGGCACCCGACTGCTTCCTCACCTCGCATGGTTGCCGAAATGGCTACACTAACTTCAACCGTCGTGGCAAGTGTTCTTTTTTTACGTCTACCACATCAACTGTAGCCATTTCAAGATGTCAGTGGTAAACGTGAACGTCGGAGTATTGGGGCACGTGGACAGCGGCAAGACGAGCCTTGTGCGCGCTCTAAGCACGCAATTGTCCACTGCCGCGCTAGATAAACACCCGCAGAGTCAGCAGCGTGGCATCACTTTGGATCTGGGCTTCTCAAGTTTCCGTTTGCAGCCATTAGATCAAGTGAAGCCATCTTTGCAGGTCACTTTAGTCGACTGTCCGGGTCATGCGTCCCTTTTTCGGACAATCTTGGGCGGTGTAGCCATTATCGACACTGTGCTGCTGGTCGTGGACTGCCGCAAGGGACTACAGGCTCAGACCATCGAGAGTCTCCTACTGGCGTCGCTAATAGCTGAACGAAGAGTGATCGTAGCATTAACCAAGACGGACTTGCTGCCCTCTGTGGCCTCAGAAAGAACGAAAGTCATCGATGCAGTCACCCATGAGATACGGACGTTCTTGGCTACACATTTCAACTTCCAGAACAAAGCCCCCATTCCCGTGGTTCCCGTGGCTGTAGGGTCTGGACAAGAACCTCAGGGCATTCAGCAGCTGCTAGAAGTGCTGAGCGCCAACTTACAGGTGCCAGAACGAGATACTTCCGGCGCTTTTCGCCTTGCAGTGGACCACTGCTTTGCTGTGCCTGGTAACGGGACAGTTCTAACTGGGACAGTATTAGCTGGAACCTTACAGAAAGGAGACGAGATAGAGCTATTGCCAATCGGAGTAAAGACAAAAGTAAAGACGCTGCAAGTGTTTAAACACGACGTGGACAGATGCACACAAGGAGATCGCGTGGGCGTGCGCGTAAATGGCTTAGACCCTGCACTTGTGGAGAGGGCGATGGCTGTGTCCCCTCCCGGGAGCTTAACCCCAGTGACCCAAGTGATCATTCCAGTGACCCCAGTGCCGTTCTTTCGCGGCGCAGTCTGCAAAAGTGGAGCCAAGTGTCATGTTACAGTTGGACACACTACTGTCATGGCTACATTTACATTTTTCTCTCGATTAGGGCGCAACAAGAAGAGCAACGTGGAGTTTGACCCCTCCGCACTGTACGAGTACGTGTCGGATCTCGATTTCGGGGAAAAGAGGCCAGAAAAGGCTGGAAATGAGTCCACAAAAGGAGATTCTACTATATTTGCTCTACTTCAGCTCGAGCACGCCGTTTATTGCCCTCCGAAGGCGCTTGTCGTCTGTTCACGACTTGATCTCGACGCGAAGCGATTCTCGTGTCGATTGGCTTTCTACGGGTCTGTGGAGTGTGTTGTCAGCGCAACTACCGACGAGTTAAATGCGTTACGTGGTGTGTACCCATCTGTAGTGGGTCTGGAAGATCTGCAAGTTGGTCGTGTCAAGAGTCGAGATGGCTTGGTGGATAAAGTGGCTGAAGGAGCAGGCGAAGTGATCGGTCGAGATTTGTTTTCAAAGGATGTCAAGTGGAGCGTTTATCAGAACTCGGAGGTTTTATTCGAACAAGCACAAGTTCTGGGGACAATCCTCGGACCTTTTGGCAAGGCCGGCAAGTTTCGCATTGCCTTGTTGCCAGACTCGACCACGCGAGCAAAAAAGTTGCAGTTGCTGCCCGTTCCAAGAGAGAAAATTGTGTTTCGATTTCTGAAGTTAATGGCACTGAAACCGCCCAAGTTAAAGGGGAAAGGGACTGAGATCTCGACTACTAAATCCGCTGCCAAGGTCTCTGTGCGTTCATTTATACAAAATAACTATTTGCTATACCCGGAGGCTTTCGAGCGCTCAGCAGCATCGTCCGACGACAGTATCAGGATCCGTGATACTGCGTCTTTGGAGCTAGTAAACGAGGACGGTGGTGGGTCCACATGTAGTTTTGCCAAGCGGAGAGGTCAAATCGAGCGACTGAAGGGCGAGACGACTGCGGATGGCAGAAATCCGTTCGCTATTGTGTCGGGATTGTTCGATACTGAGCAGGAAGCAAAAGATGCGGTGGGTTCTCGCATCCGGTGTAGTAAAACTGACGGGGACGAGGCAGACGAAGGCGCGATTGAGAAACCTTTCGGTAAAGCTGGCAAAGTCCGTGTAGATTTTCAGGGATGTGAAGGCACCAAGGGCCAAGTGGGAGATATCGTGGAACTATACTGATGCTTCTCTTTGCAGCAAGTTAAGCGCGACAGGGGTGTCTTACAGTTCAATCAAATTTCGCTTCATTGACGAGTTTGCAACAAGCAATACCGTACATGGACAGCAACAAAAAGTACCATGCGCAACAGTCTGGCAACGAAGATGGCGACCATGTCGGAGCTGCCCAGTAAGGCGTTGAAAATCCTCACGCGTGACGATTTCTGGTGAGATCAAGCTCATTCTGATGAAAAGGGCCGCAACAACCTTAAATGGGGGGGGGGCGCTCCACAGTGAACTGTGTAAAGCGTTACTTTGGACGATGTTCAGCTAGCTGCCTATTACTTCTTCGAAGTATTTGTTTCCTGTTCTGTCTTGAGATATTGCATATACGAATATTTTACTGCGTCACTCTGCTATTTGTCGTACACCACCTCTAGGGTCGGGTAGTCCGCAGCTGTTTAGGGAGTACGGTCTCGAGCAGTGGCAGGAACGGTAGCACAAGATAACTTAACACTCCAAAAAGCTTCTTGTTTCTTTCTCTCACTCAGCTTAGGCAAGAGGTAGTAAATGTAAGACTGAGATTAACGAGGGCCTACCGCCAACTCGCTTTCCTATACACGACACCGCTTCAGTTTATCTTGATCAAAAGAGTCCTTCTCCATGACATCTGTCCTCGTGCGGCGACAGGAAGGTCCGAGACGCGGTCCACCTTGCGCATCCGGCCTTGTCCCCAGTCACGTGGGACGATAGGAGGGAACTCACACACCGTTCCTGTACTCCATCGTAGCGTTCCAATACAATCACACCATAACTTCACCGGTCCCATGTGCGAAGTGAGTGGGAGCTTGCGGGGTCAACGGGAACCAGCCGCCCACCGTCGCAGCTCGTTGACCTTCGCCGAGATCCCTTGGCACAAAAGCCTGCCCGCCAGCGCCTGGCACGACACCTACATTCCCGGGTACGGGACATACTCCCCGACTTGGAGTTTGCCGTCCTCGGCGAACGGATGGCCAATGCTGGCGGCGCAGGCGAGCCATTGTTTCGGGCGCACCCGACAGGTCGATAGGATGGTCCGACGATTGCTCGGTTCCATAGGAGTTACCCAGGAACGCTTCCGTAGTAGGGGCATCTTCTTCCGCAGCTTGAAAGTCGTGTAACACTTCGATACCATCCTTGTACCGCAAGCGTTCCAAGCAGAGAGCCTTGGCACGCCTACGCTTCGAAGCGTTCAGTTGCGTGTTAGCCAAAGCTTGACTGATCACACTCTGGGGAGCCATCGAAAGCAGCGGGTTATCCCCTTCGCACAGACGCAGAGCGTGCGAAATCACACCGGTCACTACGACGATAAGAGGCCCTAGCAGGTCCCAGCGAGTCCATTCGTAACAGTAGTCGTACGTCACTAGCAGCATAAGTCCGATGGCGACACCGATAGGTCCTTGTAGGACAAACTCCACTAGGTCGTAGAGGTTAATAGGTACGAACAGCAGCAACGATAGGCACAGCAACGCGACCCAGCAGACGAACTCGCCAACGCCATAACAACGAAGTAGAGTAGCCCGGCTGGCTTCCCATGAAGCGTTCCAGTAACGCTTCGCGGAGTCCTTGGTGTCCACGAGCACGTTAGGTAGGTACTCGGCCAAGGTGACCTTGCATGCCATCCACCAACTGCGGAGCATCCTCCCATAAACACCGTATCTCGCATCCTCGTCCTGAAGCACCCAGGTAGGTGCGTTGAAGAAAACGCTCCACGCCGCGAAAGCGTACACCGAACCGCGTAGCTGGCGGAATTCACGGTCTTGCAGAGTGTGTCGGTAAGAAGAGGCACACTCTCCACAGATTTCGAGGTTCATGGATAGAACGCGCCAAACCTGCGTCAGGAACACCCCCGACGACGCTCCTAATGGGAGTCGTCAACACCCAGGCGACGATCACGCTGGTGTATACTGGCCATAGCTCCCACCGCGCGTATTCCAGGACGAGGCTTGCTTGAACCCCCATTCCTTGTGAAGAACTTTCACAAATGAGAAGAAGACACGTCCGACTCCGCCGCGTACCGTTCCACCAACTGCGTGGTCATTGCCCATCAATCGGTCACAGTCGACACCTGGGAGAGGGCAGTCGGCAACCAACGGCGAGGTTCTCGAGAAACGCCAGAGAGACGGAGGCGGCAACCAGTCTGTCAATTTTCCGCCTCATTCGGCAATTTGCCTCCACGCGACGCAGACGCCAACACCCGACGACTCGTCTCCCAGCACCAGCGGCATGGTCGGCTCCGGCGATAAGGATCGCTACAAGAAACTCCGTGAGGTCGTCGAGGAGGAGTCCTCCGACTCGTCTGAAGAAATGCCTCGACCGCAGGATTCCGCCGCCGATGTCTGCTTCTGGCTGGCGATGCGCGACGTGCTCGCCATCAACGAAGGAACGGTGGGGATGGGGATACTGGACGAGATAGCGGCGGCCATCATCCAGGGCAGCGGTAAGACCAGCGATGCCTTGACTGGTCCAGTTATGATCCTGCCTTCGCCCTCGCGACAGCACGCCCGCGGAAAACCACCACAGGATAGCCGCTTCGCTAGAGTCTCGCTCCCAGCGCCACAGAATGCTAGACCGGGCTCGGGAAAGAAGAAGACGCAGGGCTCTCAAGGCACGTCGTCGCAGGGGCGCAAGGACCGGTCTTCTCCTCCCTTCGACTTTCCATTCGAGCTCGCCGACAGGACTCCCCCGCGGGTGCGCCACGATCTCGAGAAGATCTATCAAGAGGCCGTTTTGCTCGGGCTGGAGCCGTTCATGTTGGCTTTCCCGTGGAGAGGGTCCGTCCTCTGGTACAGCCCCTTCGATTTTCCTTTAGTGCACGTAGCGCATTGGCGCTTCTGGAACGGGAATCGCGCCCGCTTCTGGGACTGGCAGCTCAATGCGCCTCCCAAGAACTCCAGCGCGCGCCGCAAGGCTAAGATGTTGGCTCTCGTGGCCCGCGTGCGCTTCCTTAGTGTCTGCATTGAAACGTGGGGTTACTACGGCTTTCGTGAACTGTTCGAGAGGTGCACGAGCCGGCGTCGTTTAATGTGGATGGGCGGGCAACCAGGCCGGAACACCCCTGATGCCAAGTCGTACCGGGGCCCCGTGATCGACAGTTTGACTCGCCTATTTCAGCACGACCAAGAAGGTTACGTTCGACGCATCCGGGGCGCCCTGAAGCCTTTCGGCATCGACGAGGGCGGCTTTGCTACTATGATGGAGCTCTTATTCCACACTGGCGCCCTGGATCCGAACAGCGCGAAGGCAGACAGTCAGCTCTCGGATCGCGCCTTGGCTCGGGTTCTTCACGACGTCAAGTCCAAGGCCAAGCACGCTTCTCATTGGGTTGGAGATCTCTCAGACGGGGTGTGGCACGCTCTTACTCACTGTCCACGCCTCAAGAAGTTGGAGGTCAAGGTAGCCCGCGAACTCGGCGATGGGACGCTCAAGGCACCTAGGATCGCTCCCTTTGATTCCTCTGAAGCTGATCAGGACGGGTACGCATCGTTCGAGCGTACCAACGGAGCCTTCACCGCGTCTTGGGCAGGGACCGAGGAAGAAGACGCTGAATCGGGGGAAGAAGGGTCCGAGAACGAGGACGACGGACCCGACGGAGTTGACGGCAAAGACGCACGGGGCTACGAATCCAGTTCGGACGAGAGTGGGGCCGGTGGCAAGCGTCCCGTCAAGCGTCTGCACTTGTCATGTTCTCCTCCTCCTAAGTCGAAGAAGTCGGCCAAGCGTTCCACGTCACGCTCTCGTTCACCACGGCGTTCGTACAAGCGGAAGCGTCGCTCGCGGTCGCGCGAGCGTTCACTTACGCCCGAGCGACCTCCTTTTCCAAGCGCGCAAGCGGCAAGCGCAAGGCTAGCATCTCGTATTCGGAGCGATCGCGTTCGCCTACTCCAGTAAAGAAGAAGTCCCGACGCACACTGTCGCCCAAGCGTTCTCGCCATCCGTCACAGTCTCGGTCACGATCGGCGTCTCCGGAGAAGAAGAAGTCGAGACGTACGCTTTCTCCTAAGCGCCCGGCGTCGCAGTCCAAGTTGTCGACCAAGCGGGATTCGGCGCAGGCCACTCGACAGCGTTCGGCGTCTAAGTCTCCTCCTTCAAAGGAAAAGGGGGTGGCGGAGACTGCTTCTTCGAAGCGCTCCAAGTCACGATCGCGTTCGGCCTCGCCTACCAAGAAGACTCGACGCGCGCATTCGCCCAAGCGTTCGGCATCGCCGGCGGGGTCGTCGTCCAAGAGGGGAACTTCGCGGGTCTCGCGTCGGCGTTCAGCTTCGCGTTCGTCATTTGCGAAAGAGACAAAGAAGGTTTCGTCTCCGAAGCGTTCCCCACTCCGTTCGCTCTCTCCTCCTCCTGAGACAAAGAAGCCCGAAGAGTCGCCAGACAAGCAAGCAGCGGAAACTCCGTCGGCCACCAAGAAGAATCCCGAGAGTCCCGAGGAGCGTGCCGAGTCGCATTCACCTTCGCCTAAGAAGGCTACAGTGTCTCCGGACCGTTCGTCGTCCAAGTCGCCACCGTCGAAGAAGTCAGCGTAGTCACGCTGACCAGCGTTCCTGTCCCACGCCCGCAGTGATCCAGACCGTCCCAATTAGAAGCGGGTAGGAGAAGTAGTGTCGTTTCATAACTAACTTTTCGTTTTGTTTTTCTTTCAACAAGCCCCTTGTAGAATTCATCTCGCGTCCGATGACTTGTTGGTCTCTCTTCGTAATGCATGAGGCTTGAAATCGTTTCGTAATATCCAGAAATATGCAAAGTAAAAGTAGGAAGTGTTTCACTGCACACTCCCCATCAAGACTGACTTTAGAGTCCACCGTGACTCGAAAGACCAATCTCACTCCACTACTCTTTAGAAGAGTAGTTCATCTTCGTCCACAGCGGCGTTAGCTTCTTCCAGGCGCGCGCTGCGGCGAAGTTCCGGAAGCCCAGCCTCCTTCCTTCTCGTGTCTTCGAACGCTTTAATCAGCGCGGCGTAAGTAGGCAGTAGATTATTTCTTGGT